TAGCTCCTCAGATGATGAAACCTTTCTTAGAAGCAACTGAAGCCAACTATTCCTTGTACTTTTTTGTCTGAGATTGCATAAAATGCCTATGTTCGATCCCTGGCAACAACATTGAGACTACTGGGTTAATTAGCATGAAGTAGCTCAGGACAAACACTTCCCTGGATACGCAGGATCACATGGAGAAGGGTGGTCCTGGCCAGGAAGGCCGGGGTAGGGGTAGGGAGGTGGATATGTGTACAGATTTGAGGACAAGGGAAAAATAATGCTCCCCATATACTCCTGGGATTCAGCAATCCTCTTTTGGGCACAGTGTCATTCTACTTTCCCAGAGAAAGATTTTAACTTCCGACAGAGAAGTCTCATAGTCTGTGTAGGGGCAAAAAAGGATAGAAAGGAAACCTAGAGACCAAGATCAATTCGTCAGCAGCAGAAGCCTACCAGCCACAATGAAGGAGAGAGCTTAATAGGAATACACTTAACAGATAGGAAGCAGGGAATATCCATCGTAGGAAAAGATACCACTGAAAAAAGAATTCTATGCATGATACCAAAACGCACTGAGATGTATGATCAACGACTTAATTCACAGAGGTTATTAGAATTTCCAAGAATAGCATAGCCACATAGTTGTAGGTAACTCCATTGTCTTTAAAGTTTAACTGCCTGATGGGAAAACTATACCTGAGTATTGGGGATGCTGACTTATCTGAAGCAATTTGAAATACGTTTATATTTCCTAAGTGCCACATATAATGATCTACCAGCACTCAGTATAATAACCTACCTGCAGGAGAGTTTTCTGAATTAACAAAAGAAAGTACAATAAGTGGTAGTTCAGTAAATATTTATTGATTGAAACAGAGGTTAACAACGATTAAGGAAACTGAGGTAATAAAGAATTGTAAGCCATAATTCAGAGGACAGGAATGCTAAAAGCATATATAAATATGTGTGTGGGGAATCTGAAGTTCATGACTGTGCTCTGTATTTCTCTCTCTCTCTCTCTCTCTCTCTCTCTCTCTCTCTCTCTCTCTCTCTCTCTCTCTCCTGCCAGAGCAGGCAGCTGTTGATAGAAATTCTTACATCAACCTAGAAGTCTGTTCAATTTTAACAAAGGAAGGTAGATATGATATATAAGTTAAATATAAGACAAATCAACACATTTTCATTGTAAATGTAGAAAATCAAAAAGGGACTATAAAAAAACCTTTGAAAGTACCTCCTCTTTCTGAAGATCAGGATTTTTTTCCATATGTCTAGAAAGAAATCTGGTTTGATTTTATTCAACATGTGTTTAGTGAGATCCTACTAGATGTACAACACTATAAAATACCAATTGTTCTATAACCTTTTGTTCTATAACCTGGCAGGGTAGAATGGATTAAATCCTTATAAAGAAAGAACAAATGTATTAGAAATGTATTAGAAAATACATGTATTTGTAATACAAATGTATTAGAAAATATGCTATATATTCAAGTTCGAAAAAGCAAGAAAGTAAAAAGGTTTCATAGAAATGAACTGTAGTTCTAATAATAAAACTTAACATTAAAACAGCATTTAATAGTTTCAGAGGCACTTGCACAGACCTTTTCTCATTGTTTCACATGAAGCTTTCAAGATGGGTAAGATTTGGATAAGTAATTCTATTTGAAATGTCTTCGATTATGGAACATTTAGAATGATGAATGTGCTTCTTAGAATAAAACTAAAAGGCATGCAAGAAGAATGGAGAGTGTATTTAGTTCTGGTTCCACTACTAATGAGCTGTGTGAACTACGACATATCAACGTAGTACTTTCAGAAAGTTAAGTGTCGGATTTCGGACCTTGACTACTAAAATTTTCTGAATTGATGGATGGTAACAGGCCCTCTTTCCTAACATGAAACTTACACATTGGTCACTAAGTAGTAAGGAATTACAATTAAATAAACAGAACCCTTTAAGGAATGATTTCTGAAGTGTAAAGTTAATAATAATAAAATATACAATAATTAAAAGTGGATAATTTTATTTTTTCTATTTTTAATAGTATGTGTTTGTGGCAATAATACATTGATTGTATATCACTTTCCCTTCCTCTCCCCTTGCTCTTCTCTCCCTAGTTTCTAGATTCCCTAGAATCTCCATCTCTACACAGTCTACTTTTATTTACTTGTATTTATTTATTTTGGTACTGGGGACTGAACTCACAACCTTGCACTTGTCAGGCAGATGCTATGCCACTGAGCTACATCCCTGGTCCTATTGGTGTATTCTTAAAATAATAAAGCACACTGATGGATTTAGTTGTTTTAAAAGCAGATTAGACACTGAACTATTGGCTAATTTACCCTTGTGGCAAGTTTTTCCATATTCTTGGGTTTAGGCCCGACCAGATTTTTTAGATACATACTAAGGCCTGAGTTTTATCCAACTTGTTTGCAAAAACAAGGTCCTAAATGCAACGAGGCAAAATGTAGGATGGAAACAGCAAAAGTCAATTACTGGTATTGTGTAAGGAAAACAAAGTATGTGCAGGAACGGTAAGTGAGTAACAGATTGTCCATGTCTGCAGGATTATATGTTATCAGCTAATTACCTGTTTTCCTCCAACATTCTTTGTATAACATCTCCAGATGAAGAAAAAATTGTGCCTCAAATGTTTCTGTAGGATTTCTGTTACCAAGCAAGATGCAGTAATAAGAGCTAATTTGCTTTCTGTCCTGAAATAATCAAAACACAGATAAATCTATGTAATTATAGATTGTAAGGCAATGTACACGAATCATGCGAGGAAAATGTACCCTGAGAAACAGGAAACAATCGTTCTAGCTTACTATCATGTGAAAATTTCCAAGCCAGAGCACAGGGGAAAAAAACTCTGGAGGATTCTGGCAGGCTGTATGAATTGAGGAGCTGAAACTGAGAGTCTGGAAAGACTAAGACAACTACAGTTTATGAGACAGAAAGAAGACCGCGAAGCCGCACGGAGAGAGCTCACCGAGATCCGAGGAGGTTCCTGCTCAAGTATTCAGCTAAAGACTGATTAGCAGGGGAGTGAGAGAACTAGGAAAGAACCACCAGAAAAAGATCAGAATTAAAAATCTTTAGCACGCGTTAGGCATAGATAGGAGTATTTAATTCCCACCGGTCACACTGGAAACCTCATGATCTGCTGGGCACTGGGTAAGGTACACAGAGGGATGTTGCCTCCATGTGGGAAATAATGTGGTGGACAGTGAGTGCTGGCCTAATCCCACTTAGTCTTGAAAGCAAGACTTCTAAGTTTAGAAAGGGAGAAATGAAAACCTTAAAGGAACCACTAACATAACAAAACAAAGATATATCGCTACAGATAATTTATCAACGTAAGAGATAAAAAATGTTCATAGAAAATGGTAGATTAATTAAAAAAAGACAAAAAAGGCACAAGTAAACAAAAACCAGATAGGACAAAGAGAAATATTTCTTGATAATAGGTTTATACCAACCATATCAATAAACATAAAATACAAATGATTTACATATATCCAATTAAAATAGATCATCAGATTGGATTTTTAAATTATATGTGGCCTTCAAGAAATGCATATTAAATATAAAGATACAATAAATTAGAAGCAGAAGAATGGAAAAATTATACCGCAGCAATATTTATAAGAAAACTGGAACGGCTATATGATTGGTCACTAGGAAATGCAAATTTCAATCACAATGAGCTATGGCTACTGACCTACTGAAATGGCTAAAATTCAAAAGACTTACTATACTAAATTTGGGGAGGATATAGAGTTAACAGGAATTCTTATACACTTCTGGTGGAAAATATTAAATGTTAAAATTGCTCTAAAAAGGTTTTGCAAGTTTTTTTGGGGGGAGGGGGTGTTAAGACAGAGGCTCTCTATATAGTTCAGGCTGGCCTGGATCTCACTGTGTAGGCCAGATGGTGAACCTTTAGCAGCTTGCAAAGTGTTAGGATTACAACCTACACCACCATGCCTGGTTCTGGCAGTTTCTTAATAAGTTAAACCCATACCTACTGTATATTATCTAGCTTTTCCCCTCCTGGGCATTTACCCAAAAGAAATGAAATTGAAAGTATGTGTGTATTGAAAGTCTGGTACATGAATGGTCACAGTTTCAAACTTGAAAAAAACCAAAAGTACCTTAGAGAATAAATGGATAAAGGAATTGAGGTATCCATACAATGGTATACTACTTAGCAATAAAAGGAGTAAATTATTGATATATACAACATAATGAATGAACCTCAAGACAATTATGCTAACTGAAAAAAAACCCTGAAACGTATATATCAGTGATGATGAACCTTTCAGAGCTTTCAAAAGCCCGCTGTGGCACGTGGGCTATAATTTGCTACCACTGGTACACACTTTCAGTAAGGTACATCCCAATCATATAAGATAAGAAAATCCAAATTCATTTACAACAACAGAAAATAGATCAGTGGTTGCCTGGAGCCTGGGAGGAACAAGAAGGAGGTATTACCAAGAACACAAGGAACCTTTGGGGTAATGGTTATATAACCTATTTTAAATATGGTAATAATGATGGATTTTGGGGTGTATATGTGTGCAGTAAAACCATCACATTGTAATTTTTAAATGCATACATGTTACTTCTACTTCAAGAAGGCTATTGTAAAAAGTTGAGGAGGAGCTATTCAATGTCATTTTCCTCCAAAGGTAATAAAGTGTATTCCATACCTTTTGAGCACAATTAATTTTTGATGAAGGTATAGGATATACATGAACTATGCTCACAGAATAAAGGATATTTAATTTTTGATTAATTTGTTTTCACCAGATGTTCAGAAACTTATTCAAGTATGAATCCATAGATCTAGACATAAGCAATATTTCTTTCAGAAAATACACAGTTGCTCTTAATTTTCTCTTTATGGTATGCCTTGCCTTCCTGCTTATTTTTTGGGTTCAATAACATTTTTTTACTTTGTTTCATGCATTTGTCCATTCATGAAATATTTATTGAATGCCAATTATATAAAAGACACTTGCTAGAGTTTATTCCTGTGGGTGTGTTCGAAGGGTAGTGCAACAGAAATTCCCTATCTGACATAGTTGGTGCTCTTATGGTTTGTCAAACCTGGTATTTCTAATGATGTGGTCTTTTATGTTTTTTTTTTTTTATATTGGTTCATTCTGGTGTAGTCTTCAATAATAAATGTGTTTCTTTTTTCAGAAAACAAGATACTGCTAAATGCCAATAGACATGATATCAAGGCCCTCTGTTCTCATGGAACTGACTTATAGATAGGCAAGACAGACTTTCAATAAGCAAGTCAATAAACATGCAATACAGATTTTTTATATGTGCCATGATGAAAACAGAATGCTGTCTGATAAAGAAAGGAAATCTTTCCTGGGTGTGACTTAATTACACATTAATTCCATAATCCATTAATTAAAAAGTTCCTAGTTATTAAATTTATGCACTGGAATTACAACCACACTGTTCTTCACATAACTGGGACAAAAATATCCACCATACCAAACTTAAAGGAGGAAAGGTTTATTTTAGCTCACGTTTTCACAAGTTTCAGTCCCTGGTTAGCTGGCTCCAAGGCAGAAATTTCAAGGTGAGAGGACATAGTAGAGAAAAGCTGCTTAGTTCATAGCAGCCAGGAAACAGAACATAGGGGAAGAGAGAGAAAGTGAAAGGAGCTGGGGACAAGAATATACCCTTCCAGATTAGGCCACTAGTTACCTACGTCTTCAAACCAGGTCCCACCTCTTAACACCAGACTCTGGCGTGTCATCAGTGGACTAATTAATTCATTGATCACGATAGCACCCTATGATCTAATCATACTCCAATACCCCCAGCTTTGAACACATAAAAAATTTAGGGGACATCTTGTATATAAACTATAATAGTTGTTCAGTTTGTTAGCCCCAAGTTTCAGGTCATTTAAAATGAAAGCGACAGAGGCATAGAGAAGTCACTCAGTTAACTTGTCTTCATGTTTAAGTTGTGGTTCTAAGGTTACTTCCTGGGAAGACTCCCCAGTCGCCCTTTGCTGACTTCCACTCTTATCCCAACTCCATCTTACATCCCTCTGTTTGCTTCAGTAGAGTCCTACATGTTTTCATAGCACTTAGTGAAATTTGTAATTTTTTATGTGAGGGATTTAAAAAATTAATGACAGTCTTCCTGAGAGACTAGAAATTCCATGAAGGCAGAGAGGCTTTTTCTATTACAGTCCCCCTATACGTAGACTTTGGCAGCCACCAGGAAAAAATATTTATTAAATGGATGACTGAATGAAGCAGAATTTCTGGTCACTTTGGTAAGAGTTTGATGATTAAATCCTCCTGGTCCTACAGGCAGAGGTTTGAGTTTTTTAATCTGTGAACAATTCAGGCTCTGGGTTAAATAGGCTGTGCCTGAGAACCAACTTTATTCATTTTCTTAACTCAAGTCATGTGATTCTTGACATCAATAAATGTGAGGGCAAAGCTATTCTTTTTGATGAAACAGCTACGTTGTAAATTAAGAGGAAATGTCATCATGTCAATCCAACTCTATATTGAAGGGGGTGCTATTATATGGTTATAAGTTCTGATAGATTCCCCAGCCAGACTGCCTGGGGTCAAATCTTGGCTTTTTTACTTATCAGCTATACAGCCTCAGACAAGTCACTCGACCCTTTAGTTCTTCATTTTCTCATCTGCAAAATGAGGACAAAAATAATATCATTCTCATGGGGTTACTGGGAGGCTTAAAAGCATTAGTAGATATAAAAGTGCTCAGAATAGTGAATGGTACACAGTAAATATTAGATGAGTGCTCATTATCAATCTCAATAATGCATAATATTCACTAAAGTAAATTCTCAAATTGATATGTGCAAATGCATTGGCCAAATAAAGGATGGGTGTATGTAAAGGCTTTATTTCTAGTGCAACCAGCACTTTCTAATTAATTATATTTCTACTCACATATCTGCCTTATTAAGGTACTTAATATATTAAGCGATAGTAAAATTTGTATCATAGTGATAATTATTTTAAGGAAACTGAAGGATACATAAAAATAAAGGAGCATTAGGATAAACTACAAGCAATTTGAAATTCACTTGGTGGTATTTATCTTTAAAAATAGCATTTCTGGATTTTGTAAGCTGTATCCATCTTCCCAACAGTGCTGGCTTTAACATGCAGATTTCAGATGGCCTGAAAGGAGGTTCTTTCTACTTGCTGGAGGAATGTGCAGGGAAGGAGGAGAGGGGGCGTCTTGCTGGTGGAAATGTGAGAACAGCAGCTCTTTGAATGCTGGCCATGACGTAACCTGGGAACTGTGAGCAGCTGCTGGTGGAGTGTTTCACACGCAGCGGGGCAGTGGGAAAAGCCATGAGGAAAACAACCAGGGCAAACAAATGTAGGAGAAAGGGTAGGCGGGTTCAAAATCCAGGGCACCAGAGGTCAGCCTGGAGAGAGAAGGACACTTCAAAGAATAAAGAATAAAGCAGCGAGAAGTTGGAGCAAGGGCAAACATCAGTTACAGAACAAGGGAGGACAAGAAAACACAAGCACTCTGGCCATTTTAAATACCCCAAACTACACACATGTTTCTAGAAAGGAATTGGAGGTATCAGGAAAGTAAAATAAATGTAAGCATACATAAACTGGCTGTTTAAAAACAGTTAATAGGGACTTATTCCATTTTAAAATACAATAAAATACTTCTATGGCTTATCATAATAACTGGCTTCACAATTAGTAAAAATCATTCCTGATTAAAACAATTTATACCTTAAGCAATATATAGAGATCAAGCAATCTAGTAGTTTCAATAGTATGTTTTAATGGTTAGTATGTTATAATGATTTCAAACATTTTATAAAGAATTCTCTTTATAAAATGTTTGAGTAATAATTCTATTAAACTCCAAAATATATTTTTGACTCCTGATGACTTGGTTCCTGTGTTATACCTCATATAATTTCTTTTTTGCCACACTTCTTACATCATTCATTTTTCTCCCTATGGTCTCATACATCCTGAAACCTTTATAAAAAATAGAGAATGCCCTTGATAATTAGACCATTCTTGTAGGAGGAGGAAGACAGACTTTGGAACATCTGGGCCATGTTATTTTCAAGGTTACCTGGGAAATTTCAGTATCATTCCTCTTGAATAAAATACAAGTAGCTGTATACACACTGGAAGCCAAATGTTCTTAAGTTTGGCAGTGTACTTTGACCTTGGTGTGTTTCGAGGGCTGTGTCTATGCTGGACATTTAGACTTATACTCTCCGTATTCAATTTTTTAGAGGGCCTTATATATTACTTTGTGTACTTTTTTAAAAAAGAATTGAGGTTAAGCACAAATGATTGTTCTCTTCTTACTAAAAAGATGTTTTCCTAGCACTTAATTGTCGTTTTTCCACGGGTCATTTTATTCCTAATATCAACAAATCCTTCTGTGACCTGACCTTTTCAAAAACAAACACATTCTTTTTTCCTCTTGGTTCTTTTCATCTCCTTCACCTTCAGATTTTAAAAACTCTGGCCAGTGGGCACATCAGGCTAGCTGTTATAGTTGAAATCTTTTTACAAGAGCAATGTACACCTTAGAATCTGCTAAGAGTTGTTTATTTTACATATTACTGCAGTGCTTTGGCTTTTAATTTTTTTAAACATGTGAAATCCCTAGGTGACAGCCCCTAAACAGGAGGAACATCACGTGATAAAAGTACTATTTAATATCTGTTAATTCAGGAAAAAAGTCCGTGTAAGTTCAGTAACATAACTTCTTTACTTATAAAAGAGTGGTATACGACTAAGAAAATTTTAGATTCAATTAAAAATTCTTAAATCTACTTTTGCAACCTTTCTGTAAAACTCTATGATCCAGAGTATGGTAAGGAATTTCTGTATGTAGTTATAATAAAATAATACCATCTCCCAGGAGCTGGATAGAAATGCAGAATCATAGGTCTCACTCAATGCAAGAATCTATGACGGTGTTTTAACAATTTCTGAAAATAATTTTTGTCTATTCTAGGTTTTAGAACTATATCCTAAACTAGTGCTATCCAATGTAAAAATGGTAAAAGATACATAAATAATTTAAACGATTTTATAGACATATTAAAACAGTAAAAAAGAAGCAAACCTATTGGTTGCTTTACTTGAAACCAGTGACAGGCTTACTTCATTCTTTTTTAAGAAAAAAAGTCATGTGTCAATACTCATAAAAAGAGAAATTAGTGAAATTCATTATAATGACATGCTTTACTTATTCAATACATAAAATTATTTCAACATATAATCAATTTAAACGTATTAATCAGATGTTTCACATTTCTTATACTGTCTTTGAAAACTGATATTTAATACTCAACACTCATCTCAATTAAAAACTGGCAATATTCAAAGGCTCAATATCCATCCAGATAGCACAGTTCTAATATAGTAATTATAAATTCTTATAGAAATAATTTGTGTTATTAGGAATTTAATAAAAATTTATCCTCTGAGTTTCTTTTTACATTTTGTTTTCTTTCTGCCTTGAAGAAGTGGTTGGGTCTCCATGGGCCCACAGCAGTATATCACTCCTCAAAAACAAAGCTTTCTGCATGGCATTGTACTCAATTTCTCCATTTAACATTTAAACCATGCCTCAAGGAGACTGAGAACCAAATTTTGTTTAAAAACTTTTTGAGACAGGCTCTCTATATACAGTTTAGTTTGGTCTTGAACTCATTATGTTTATAGTCCTCCTCAGCCTCTGGAGTCCTGAGATTACAGCAAGTGTTGCCATGCCAGGTTTTGTTTTCCAGAATATTTTAAATGTGACCACCTGACAGGTCTTTAATGTAGGACAGCTGTTCTCAAAGTGTGCCCCGCCTCCCTAGACTGACAGTATCAGTCTCTCCTGGAAATTTGTTAGAAATGTGGACTATCAGTTGTACCCTAGATGTAGCAAATCAGAAAAGTTGCAGATGGGGCCCAGAAATCTGTGTTTTAATAAGCCAGAATCTCTGGGGGTGTTTTAACATGATGGTGGTGATTAGTACAATTTGAGAACGAGTGCTGTAGAAAAATATATTTTCTTGGACAATTGCCTCAGACTAAGTTCTATGGTCTAATAATAAGCAGAA